CAACCACATAATCGAAATAAAAACTATATCGAATAGACGAACAAGAACTAACCAATACTCTAAGGGTTACTCTAAGTCTTAGACTAATTGCTGTTAAAGCCTACTACTAGAAAGCTGTTGACATCTTAGGCTGCTTCCAGAGTAAGTAATTAAAGGTATATTTTGTAGTATATGTTCACTTACAAGCAGCGTAGCGTTTGCATCCAGTTTTGGACCAGTTTTGCAATGTTGCAAGCACTGAAACTTAACGCGTTCATATAACTCAATATAAAAGCGCTCGGCTGCCGCTCATCGCCAGCATTTGACGCAGATTATACAAATTTATGCAACACTGTTGGCACTTTTATTCCATCATCCTCCTCCTCCTCCTCCTCATCGCCCCTCCCCACGCTCTGCTTGGGGCTTTGCCACCATTTTGGTTTGGTATTACACTGCTGACTGCTGTTTTTTACGAAAGCTGACGCAATGGCGGTTTCTGCTCCTGCCTTTACCCCTGCTCCTGCTCCTGCTCCTGCTCCTGCCACTCTTCTTGCTCTTGCTCTAACTGCTACTCCGGCTGCTGTTGCGCATTTCCGGCCCCTCAAGCTTTACGTTGAGTGTTGGATGGCGTTGGGGGGTTAGTTAACAGTTGCCAGTGGCAGCAAAAAGTCGACTAAGCGACAAGAAGACCACTGCCCAGAACAGCATTTGATTTTCATTAAAAAGCGGTCCAATTTCTTTGCCTGACTAAAAAGTACCCTGCATGTTCTGATCTGATCTTAAAGAATATTCAATATTCACCAAAATTTTCCAGATTATAAGTATATTAAGCTAAACCTTTCACTTTTAGGCCTCTATTTATTTTTCGAGCTACACTTAGCCAACTCGTTTCTTATATGCTCTGAAGAAAGTATTAAAAATTTCCTTGCCTATAATCCCCCAACCTTTTATACCTTTTTTAGCCATCTTCAGTGGTTTCGTGACATAGAAAGAGTGCACAACTTGTTTGGAAAATTATTATGGGCAGGCAAATCCCCTATAGCGACTGCTGAGGCTACACAACAATAATAAGGAAACTTCAAAGCAGATTTTCTCACTAAATTTGAATTTGTTTTCGTTTTTTTGCTCAACGAAATTTACATTTATATTTGAGATTTAAGATTTGAGTTTGCGATTAATTAAGTGCAAAATGCATTTATTTAACGTCTGACAACGAGTTATTTACTCTAATTGCATTCATTTGGCCACTGGGACAGAAGTTTTTGCTACTTGCGCACAGCACACACGGCGTATACGTAACACGACAAACGGACCCAAGAGATGTGGGCTTAAGAGGCGGACACAAACGTTTGCTCCTGCTGGAGCTTTTATTGCCAAAACAGCCAAAACGTTAGCAAAGTGTACTCGACTAACAGATACTCTGTAAAAACACAATTGTATAAGCATTGTGTGCATTTACACTTACATAAACTTTACATAATTTAAACTTATTTTCAAATTCATATAAGTATGCGCTGGTCTAATGTGATCGACTTGCATACACTCTGTAATAATACATGTGTAATAACATACTATATATGCACTTAATTGCACTTTAAACAAAATAAGATAAACATTCTATTAAATATGTCAAATTATTCTGATCGACTCACAGATACCCTAAAAAAATACAATGTTAGAAATAACCAGAATATATATACTTTATGTACAAGCAAGCAATTTACTTTAGATAACATTAAATAATAAATCAATTGAGGTAAAATTAAATGGTTACTGACTACCAAATACCCAGTATTAAATATTAAAGCAATTCAAGAAGCATTTAAAATATGTATTGATTAGGAGCAGCTTGAATTAAAAAATCTCTTATGTATGCGACAGTTGATTGCGCTAGATACCCTTTAGGACATATTTTATATAATTTTAGTTATCCAGAATGTATAACATTTCCAGATAATGCAATTTGAAAATATTATTTTTGGTCAGATTTTTTTAGATAATTGATTAATATACTCTTTTTATAATAATTTCATTTTACAGGGTATATGAGAAACTGAATTCGAAGTAAGTCATTCCAACTTGAGTGGCTGTAACTGCTCGGCGATAGCGTCCAGGGAATACCCCGGACATGAAAGAGAATGAGAGAGAAAGAAAGAGCGTGAGAGAGAAAGAGGCAGAGTGAGAGAGAAACAGTAAATGGAAATGTGAATTAAATGCGACAAACGAGGCAAAGAAAATTGAAACGTTTAAAACTGGGCAAATAATTGCCTTAAGGCCATATTGAGAGATGGATAGAAGGAATGAAGCAATTGCAGCAATGTGGATGCCACTTGACACTGTCAAACATGGAAAACTATTTGCACAATGGAAATGGCAGCGAGTTCAGCTGCGGCACAGCAAACGACAGCTTAACGACCATTATGAGAGGCACACAAAATGGCGCCTGACAGCGTTGCCACTTAATTTTTTTTTTTTTCTATTTTCTGTTTTCTGTTAAAGCTGTCCCCTGGCGCTTGGCACGTCTAATTGTCTGCTCCGGTTTGTGGCTTATTATGAAATAATGCAGAACCACAAAAATTTATGTAATGTGTCAGAGAGACAGACAGGGAGGGAAAGCCAGACGCAGCTTGGCATAGCTGTTGATGTGCAGCAAGCAGACAGTTTTTAATAGACACACAGACAGAGCCCCATGGCGCAGCAAAACAATTTATGCAAAGCTGCAAATCAGCGAAAAGATGAAAAGAAAGACAAACGAGTGAATAAACCAGTCAGCGCGTAAAGACATACAACAAAAGAGATATTGTGCTCTATATAATATAAATGAAAATTTAGTACAACTTGCTTGGAGTACTAAACATAGGAGCACAATAAATATATCAAAACAAAATTACTTGCCAAAAAGTTAATTTAGGTTTTGATTTATGTCTACCCAAAAAATCTCATTAAGTTTACAATTTCTTGAGCTGCATTTAAGTTCGATAATAGTTAAGTTGAGCTTGACTTGAATCGGGGCATGAAACCATTCAAGGCCTGAAAAAATTATATTAATATACAGAATTGGAATGGGAATGCAAGACATTTGCTGTAAAGCAAATATAACTAAGCTTGAAGAAAGAAGAAATGGATTTTAAGCGTCTTGAAAAATAAATCTTAAATAAAGCACCAAATTTCGAAGATAGCAAAACTCAATTTTACTCTCTATACAAGAGTGTTATAGTTGATAGGGGATACCCTGAATCCTGTACAGAGCAAATATTTCAATATTCGAAGCATATCGATTATTATCGATAATACGCAAATGGGACTAGTTATCGCACAAATAATGATTAACTCGAACTGCACATGTTATAGAGACGCATATATTTCAAGCATCTAGCTATTGGGCTTTAAGGCACAGACAACCCGACGGAAACGGCTAGATCTGTGTCAATCTTGCCAAATCAAGATCATATATTCGTTGTAGCATCTGACACGCCTTCTTTTGCCTGTTTAACAAAAACATTGAGCCTATTGTATTATTACTTGTATAAAATATATACATTGGGAAGTTTATATATGTAAAAACACAATTTTATAATTTGACAAGATATAGAACTCTGTCTCTGTGAAATTTCCTCTTAGTTCTTCTACATATGATATGTTACACCTAAGAAGAACTAACTACTCAGAGCACAGCAAGAAACAAAAACAAGTTGACTAACTTCGTATTTATGTGATTTAAGCAAAATATTTTCTAAACGAGCTAATTTTACAAAATTAATTAGATTTTGCACTTTAACCCTGACAAACACGACGCACGCAGCGGGCTGACTGCCTATATGTGTGTCTGTGTGTGGGTTTATATGAGGGTGTATATGGCTATGTGGCACGCAGCATGACAGACCTTGCCTCAGCTGGGGGCACACACACATTTGGTAGCCAAAGTCATGTAGGTAAATCGACTCGATTCAATGTCCTAAATGCGTTTGTGTGTGTGTGTGTTCGTGTACATGTGAGCTTGTGCGTGTATGTCATGTGCTGTTCACACTAACAAAGGCCATTTGCAAGCAATGCGAGCAGGTACCAGGTGCCAGGTGCCAGGTGCTGACAAAAACAACAAGATGAATGCCAGCTCCAGTTCCAGCCGCCGCAACTTCAGTTTCAACCTCAATTTCAGTGCCACGCCCCCCAGCTACGCCTAGTTTTTTGGTCAATTTCTACGTGAAAACTTGGTCTGGCGTTTGCAACTGACGCAGCAATTAAAAGCGCAAATTATTTCGACCTTAATCGATTCGCGGCGCTGTCTCTCACGCATTCAACACAATTCCCCAAAAACTGACTGAGCAACAATTCCGTATTGTCAATTCACACACGCATAGAGAAAAACTCCGCCGGGAATTGGCACTGCGTGACATGTATCCAAAACTCCATTCGGCAGTCGCCGCGATGAGCTTTAGCAACGGGCACGTTGTCTGCCAATCAACTGTTATTAGGTTAGGCTATTCCCATCAATCTAAAGTGTGGTTCATGATAGTGGTTCAGCTGAAGGTTCGCTCAGTGTAGCAAATGAAGGGACATGAATAAATGGGAGCAAATATGCAGACCTTCACCTATGTTACGCTCATATTCATATTATTAAGTCAATAACTTTTATGGGGTAATTAATAAGAGGTTCATGAATGTGGTTCGGCTCAATATATCCAAGACACAAATATAGAAATGTGGGTATATAAGCATATGTATTTATATGAATGTATGAATATTGTCTTATCTTAACTCAATATACACATATCTCATTGAACCATTAAGCGTAAAAGTGGTTCGATAAACTGGTTTAGTTGAATGTTTTAAGAGGTTAAGAAGGATATATAGATATGAATTTAAAACTTGATATGCCTTTACTTATCCGCCCATTGAACTGATTCAATATATACTATAAAAGCCTGTTGCATTGGATATGTATAGATAGATATGAATATAGTTAACCACGAATTTAGAACCAGATCAAATGAAAGAAATATAAAAAAAATACGTATACTTACTCAGTTACATTATTTTCAAAGATGAGCTCGCCACGAACCCCATGATAGTGACGCCCACTGATCGCAGTTTCATCCTCGGTCCAATAGGGTACAATGACGTTACCTCGAGCACCAGAATATCGCATTACTGATAGAACGTAGACTCCAACCGATTCGTTAACATCGATTACGGCATCGGCAAAGGCAAAAATGCCCGCATGATCATCATCCAGAATCATAACGGTAGCTGTATGTGGCACATAAATGGTAGCGTTCGCCGAAGGATTGAAGAGTCGGATATAGAAGCATTCGTCCTCCTCGAAAATGTCATCATCAATAATCTCGATCTTGAAACGTTGCTCATCTACGCCCGGCGGAAAAGTAAGTATACCACTTTTGCCCACATAATCAGAGCCAGCGGAGGCGGTGCCATCCTGAGTCTCAAACTGAACATTGGAATAGCCGGAGATATCTCCACGTCGCACCACACGCACCTCGAATTCGCCACAATTCTCCATGACCGTATAGTGTCCGGGCTCAAAGTAGATCCGCGTGGGCATATCATCATCATCGTCGTTAAATGTTTGGATTTGAGCTTTCACGCGTGTTATATCGTCGTGGGCACGTTCTTGAATCTTACGCATCAGATTGCCGCTGCCGATGAGCTTGCGCGTGGCCTGGATACGATAGAAGGCGCGGGATTTGTTGCCACGCGTTATCAGTTGCTCCTGTGCCATCATTTCCAGTTGCTCCAGATCAGCATCCGGAAACTTTTGACGTAGCTCCGACAGCAGCTGTATGTACTCCATTCTGGCCTCATCATAAGCATGCGCACTCTCACTCATGCGCAAAAACTGTTTACCCTTATCATCTCCGCCCATCTCAACGGAATCCTGTTCGCCGGCAACAACAGTGCCACGTTTATTCATCCGATAGTTCTTATCCATGTATTTGTAGACGAGCAATCGTCGCTCCGCTATATACGCCCAGAGTACGGTGGCTGGAAACATAAGCAGGGTGAGCACACCCTCCCACACCTCAATGATGCCAGGCGAAATGAGCGAAAGAATCGCCCATAGCCAGATGTAAGCAATAATGGACAGTACGGCGGTGACAATGAACACCCTGAGATGTTTTATACGACGCTTCTCACCCTTCGGTATCAGCACCATGCAGAGAGCAATTATAACAAATAGATTATATGCCGCAGAGCCAACAATTGTGCCTGGTCCCAGATCTCCGCTCTCAAAGTTTTTCGCATAGATCTCAATTACGGAGAGTAGAATTTCGGGTGCACTAGATCCAAGTGCCATGAGCGTTAAATTTGCCACAGTCTCATTCCAGATGCGTACACGCATCGTTTGCTTTTCGCCCTTTGGTCCACGAACGACAACATTGCGTTCAATAGAAGTGATTGCCTCAATTGATGCCATAAAGCGATCCGATATAATCGAGACGCCCACAAACAAATAAACCATTAGCATAAAGTAGACAAAGCCACGGATGGCACGGTCACTAACTGAAATATGACGCTGGGGCAACCATAGTGGCAGCAGAAGGCCCTCTGAACAGGTGCCCAATTCTTCCACCTCGACACCGGGGCGTAATGTTGTCGTCTCCTGTTCATCAAGATCATCATTCACCTGACGCACAAAACGATTGTGAATGACATCACTGCTGGTTTCATTCAGACTCGAGTAGGATGCTGAGTTATCCACAGCTTGGCCAGTGGTCAGGGCAAACGTGTGTGTCTTCACATAGAGCACGAGCAATAGGAGAGCGAAGGTAGCAATTGATCTCACCGTTTTTCGCATTAGCAGCATTTTTTTGTTTTGTTTTTTTTTTCGTTTTCCTTTTTGGAAGTGTTTAGTGTGTATTGTCTTTCACTGTTACTGGAAGCGTTCTCTTATTTGTTTTTGTGCACTTAGTGAAAATATGTTGCGGTCTATAATGTACGAATCGTCCTGCGAAACGGCATCATCGCAAACGCAGTTTCAACACGATGTGCCGACTGTGGCACCCAACTAACGTTGCTCCTGTTGCTTCCTGGAAAAATATACAAAGGAAAAACAAATTTGTTTATAAATAAATGAACTCGGAAGAGTAGCAGCAATATTTGCTATCAACATCGTCTGTTGCTAAATGATATTTTCCTTTGAAAAGCCGATTTAACATTATTTAACTTTTCCAGATGGGCGAAAAGTCGTTGCCAGAGTTTTCACTTTGTATTTTGCTTTCCTCCATCTTTTCAGCTCTTTTGTATATTTACACGAAACAGAAACTAAACACAAGAAAAAAAATTCCTATTTAAACTGAGAGCAACTGAAACTAAACATAGCACATAAACAAAACGCAGCAGTACTAAGGGTAAACATACCAGACGAACAAGTGGGCAAGGTACGACTGCAAGATACTCTATGAAGTGGGTGCTTAAAGTGTCCTACTGCATATTATATCTCATATATAAACAGAAAAAATATATTTCTAATCTTTATTTATATTATAATTTGAATTTTATTGCCATTTCACTAGTCATTGGTCATTGCTCATTGGTAGTTAGTCATTAGTAGCAAAATTTGTATGAATATTATCTTAAAGATGTTTATATTATATTTCAGATTGGCAAATAGGTTACAAACTTTAATTAAAGGCGAGGCTCTAGATTACCGGCATCTTACCCTCTATTAGAGCATTTACTACAAATATATTTTTATTAAATATAACACGTTTATTAAATCTCCCTTCTACGTAATAATGATAATGTTTCTTTTGATATTTCTGTATTAACAACTGTTTGCTGTGGGTCCGGGTGACTGAATAAACGTTGGACAAACTGAGTCAACGGACCGGTAAATATGAATACGATATGAAATCGATAAAATGCATAATGCAGACAATGTCAATAACTACATTTCAGTAAGAGAGAAAGAGCGAGAGAGAAAGAGCGACAGGGAGATTGGCGGTGTGTGTGTATATGATGAAGAAGATGGAACTGAGAAAAGCATAACGGTAAAGGCATAGCCAACAACAAGAACCAACTTGACTGGCAAGCGAAACGGACAAAAGTCAACATAGCGAATGACAAAATAGAACGGTTAAAATGTAAAGAGAGAGACTTAGTGAGAGGTACACAACAACACAAGAGAGCCAAGGCAAAGTGGGTGAGATAGTGGGCTATATTAAGATATGCATAAGCAATTGTTCTATGCAGATGACTTGCTGCACACTCCTGTATATAATATAATTTATATATATAGAAATAAATAAAATTAAATACCTAAATCAATATAAAAAATATAATAAAATTGGGTAAATGTAGATATGACGAATTTCCTACTCAAAAGTCGATGCAGTTTTAAAAATATCAATATAAAAAATTTAATATTAATATGCTTTTTAAATAAAAGTCAAGTTTACTATGCTTATTAAAATAAATTTATATGAAAATGCATTAAAAATTAATTATGCAAAATATTCGCTTGCTTGATTCGCATCCAGAACTTAAATGCAGCACATTTTTCACTACAGGGGAAGGGTTCGCTTGTATTAATTTAGCAATTACAACGGTAAAATGTGCCAAGAGCTAGTCGTTGGGGAGTGGGGAGAGCTGAGTGTGCAAACAGTCAGACAGTCGGACAGAATGTCAATGCACAAACACACTAACACAACTAGCACACACATACACTCAGGCATTTCTAGCCAGCCCGCAAGCAAGTGCTCAGTTTTTCCACCCGTTTTCCATTTCAGCAGCAAATTGCATTTAACCGTTATTGAAAATTTTGTGCACGTCGATGCTTTAAAGAGATTGAAAAACTAATTGAAAAATCTCTCGAGCAGACACTCAGACATATTATTATTCATATAGTGTATGCTATATGCAAGCACAGTACAGATTTGTCACTTTACATAATTTTTATGACCACTGTGCATAGTGTGTGAAATATGTATTTAAATATAGCCCATCGCTGCTAGGCTCAACGGGTTCCGTTTTCGGCTGCGGTCGCCAGATAACAAACACACTTTACGTTACGTTAGCACTTATGTTAGGCCTTACGTTGTTTTGTCGGCACGTTTATTATTGGTGTTAGCCCAACTCAAGCTGTGCAAACATTTCGCGAAAACAAATGTTTAATTTCGAAATCTTTCCAATTTAGATTTGACTATGATTGAAAATGACAAAAATCGAGACACTGAATACATCTGCTCTCCCACTCGCATTTACATTCGCAATCGCGTTCACGTTCGGCAGCCAATGCACAACTAATTCGCCAAAAACCCGCCGCCTGTCGTCCGCGCTCGACAAGCGTTGTACCAAGCTCTCATAATTTTTTTGAGTGCCCTACACTGATTTGCGCACGTCGACTTGTTCATCGGTGCAAGATATATAAATTGTCTGGTTAATTTTTAGAATGAATGAAATAGTGTATATAGTCTTCTTAAATGTAAATGATTATAGCCAAAACTCAATTATATATTTTGACTTCATATGCTGCTAGAATTTCTGATAGTTCAATAATATATGCAACTATTTTGGTCCACAAGTGTAGGGTATTTGTCGATTTGTACGTTTTCATCGTTTCCTATGCACCATAATTATTAACCTATGTCTTTGTCTGTCAAAATATTCGCCGTTATTTTAGCTGTGCATCGTTTCACATAGTTTGCTTTGCTCACACTCTCACGTTCTCTCGCGCTCATACTCTCTTAATATTTCGCGGTTGTTATTGCCTTCTTTTTGTTTAGCATTAAATTTTGTTTATTATTGTCGCCTGCTGCACTCTTTTCCTCTCTCAGTCTCTTACAAGCAGAAGCAAATATTTTAAATCTGTTTTGTTGCACCTTTAGGTCAACTACATACATAGTTCTGGCGAATTGCTATTTCAATGTCGGCGGCAGGCGTACTATATGTTAATCTCAAGCACTAAACATAGAACTCGACTAAAAGTGGATCTCTCCGGCACCCATCTAAAAGATATATATTCCCTGCGCATTTTAAAAGTGAATATGACAAATTAAAAGTTTTTTATGAAACAATTATCTACATATGTACATATGTATATATATATATATATATATATATATATATGTATATATAAATATTCTTGATCAATATGGTGAATATCGATATTCTGTATACTTTCGTACTATCAACATACATTGATAGAAGTAATTGCCTAAAAAAAATGTAAGTATAATATAGACATTAATTAAAAATGATGATATACGTCGGTTGAAAAAGTTTAGTTGATGTATTTTCATTATATTTTTGTACTCAGGGCAAGAGTTTTGACATATGCATTGAAGATAGCTCAGTTAAGATCGTGTCAAACAGGGTAGCGTCTACTCTATCACTCTATCACACTTTCTTTCTTAATACGCTTGCCACCCAGCTGTGAAGCACGCCTGTCTATGCAGCTAATTTTGTTTTGGTTTTGCTTTTCTGCCTACCCTTCTGATATATTTTTAGACAAGTGCACAGACACAGCCACACACATACATATACACACACACACTTACATACACACATAATTGATCTCTGAAGAAATACGTGTGTACATACATATGTACACATATATTTATATGCTTTCTACTCACTTGAACTTTCGTCAGTTGATTCCTGCTGTGGATTGCGGTACTTCTTGGTTGAGCTTGAATGGATATACAATGTATCTGTCAATATGAAAGCACTTGGCTACCAAAATCCGATTTCTGACTGAAAGATTTATTGGCCCAGAAATTGCAGCACGTTTTAACAGGTTAAAGTTGGCATTAATTCGAATTATAGGTGAATCGATTCACTTACAGCCCACAAAACATTTGCCCCCAGTGCCTGCACCGGTTTCTTGGTAGCACCCTTTTTCTTCCTTTCCCTCTGGCTTCCTCTATCTCTCTCTCTCTCACTCCCCGTCTATGTGATTTCTTGCTAAGTAAGTCCCTTCACACAGTGTGCGCCATGGGTCCCATCAACAAAGTTTGTGAAGAAGAAGAAAAACCTGGAACCACCTACGATTTAACTGATTTTAAACGGAATTTATTCAACATTTATGCTTAAGCCCCAAATTTCTGAAGTATATCTCAAAGGCGATCCACAACAAGTCAATCTTAATATCGCGATCTATTTGGCGATCCAACCAAAACAGCCAATTGATTTCACTGTATATAAAATATATATTTGTCTATATGAAGGTGAACTTATCTTTATTCATTTTAGCGATAATTTGAAGCGTTCCTTAATTTCAAATCAATGCGACAGGGCAATTGATATAGTGAATACTTTGTTATCATAAGGGTATTATATAATCGAGCACCTAAGGTTTACTTCATGCGTTAGAGTCGAGCGCGTGTCGTGACACGAGAGTCGTGATCGCATAATCATGCTAAGTTTGACAATATAACTTTATAAAAAAAATAAATAATAAATAAAAAAATAAATATAATACGTATAACATATTTTGTGAGCCATCTCTAACTGATCAATAGTCATTGGCTCTTTTCGCTGCTGCATTATAATCTATATCTTATCTCATTCCTTTATCTGTAATGTGGTCTAACAATAACGTCATCAAATCGTCTATATATACACATACTTATAGTTAATTAGTTATATTTATATATAAGAAAACGCAGGTACTATTAGATTAGATATATCTGGTCAATATGTTAGCTTTCTAGGCCGAACGATAAGAAATTGAGAAACAGTTGTTAAAATGTTATTTATGAATGCTTTGCTTTAAATGATAACAAATTGCTTATATATATAACTATATAACTATATAACTATATAACTATATAACTATATAACTATATAACTATATAACTATATAACTATATAACTATATAACTATATAACTATATAACTATATAACTATATAACTATATAACTATATAACTATATAACTATATAACTATATAACTATATAACTATATAACTATATAACTATAAATTATAAATTATATTCATTATTGATCAGCGTGATCTAGCCATGTTCGTCTGTCCGTCTATCTGTCTGTCTGTCCAAAGACTTCAAGTGCGAAATATTTATTCCTGCTTACTATAAACAGTTTCAAATATTATTTTTGTTCGATAACTCAACCCATTTTCATATGATCGATAACAATCGATAACACATACGCCTCTTGGAGGCATGTTAAAATTGAGAAAATCTATTTCTTTTGCTGTCATATCTTTCGCTTTATGTTGAGCTGCTCTTGAATCTATATGCAGGCAGAAGACTTATAATCATATAAGATAATATATATATATATATACATAATATTCAGATTTAGATTTCTAACTTTAACGCTTTTAGTATTCGATTTGAAATTGGGAACAGGAACTAAACTGTTTTATTACAGTTTTTCTGTAATTTTTTCTAACTTTAAGATTAGTTTTTCTAAGAATAGGTATTATTATGAATTTCGATAGTTCTCTCTATCCGGGCACATTGCTTTAGTCCGCTGTGCTGTGGCTCACGATTACCTTGGCACACCTTAATTATTTACAAGCCAAGAATAGGTTTTGTGTTCATATTTAGTTAATTGAATCATTGCGACATTCTCTAACGGGTCGAGGGTCTTGGTCTTGGGCTCATGTGCCGTTATTTCGGGGGCTTAGGCAAATTTTGCATGGCCAATTAGACTAAATAATTGATGAGACGTCACTTTGGCAACGAGCACAAAATAAAAAACGAAAAAGAAAAGTCCTAAAATGTTGCCTAAATCATTTAGAGTCGCTCGAGGAATGGAAGTGCGCTTGAAATATTTATCATACGCCAGGTTGACCGCAGTGAAAGTGAGCACACACACAGTTTGGCCTAATTGAGAGCGAGTGTGAGCATACATCGGGCAGGCACTGTCAACTGGGCTCCACCTTAAAACGCTGCCACAGCTGTCCCCAAGCCCACTCGGCAACAACCTCATATCCTAGACGAGCAATCCTTGTACTTATATCAATTTCATTTTCGCACTGCTTTTCATATTGCCTGCTTTCCGCGCTTAATACCCTGTAGTTGGGTGCCTGCAGAGGGGGTTCGCATTACACATAAGCCACACCTAAGCCACTTATAGCTGAGAGTGAATTCTTGGTAACTGATTGGATTTTCAATGCAATGTAATTCCGGCTGAGAGCACGACTTGATGGTCTGACTGATTGATTGAGGAGCTGTTAGCGAAATTATTAGATGATTGTTTGGACTAAACAGAGCCAAGAGCTAAGCATTTCTATGTGAGCTAAGTTTTGAGATTAACATTAATGTGTAAAGAAGCTATGATTGATTGACTGATGTACGACATTTTGGTTGATATTCCAAGCTTAAGCTTGTAACTTATACTAATTGATGAACTGATTATTGATTGAACTATATATAAACATTTTTTATTTGATTTGTGATTGTTCTTAATGAGATTGACATTGATTTATAATTGGGTGGTCTCTGATTGATTGCTTGATTGAAGCAAGCTTAACAGCTTGGTCTCTTTCTTCTTATTTCTGATTGACTAGCTAATAATAATGAGCTGATTGATGACGAAAGCAATGATTGTCTAAGTGATGGATGCATTGATTGATGACTGAAGCACAAATAATAATGTTGCATATGCTTTATATTTGATCTTGCTTGATCGACTGATTGAAGAAGTGGAAATTTGCTGAACTGATTGATGATAAAAGCTTTGATTGAGTTGCTGATTGAAGGGCTGATTGAAAAGTCACGTTTGTTTTGCTTTTGAATAACAGACTGATTGATGATTGAAGCATTTTCGAGTTCTTTCATATATATATATATATATATCTATATTTGAGCTGATTGACTGATTGATGTGCAAGTTAACGCTTAATACACTTTATATTTGGAATTACTTTACAACTATTTATCACAGCTGATTGATTGATTGAAGGGTGTAACTGCCTTGATTGATGCTTGATGTACTTGAGATAAGATATGCATAAGTCAAGAGGACTCATACCCAAACACATATATGTATGTCTAAGCGAAAGGTAGTTTTTACAGGGTGACTCGGTCGTCGATCAACCGCAGGTGGCCTGTTTCTGATTATTTTCTTGTTGTGGGCGCATTCAGGCTTTATATCCTTGGTAACAGGAGGCTGCATGCCAGCTCAGCTGTGGAGCTTTTCGGGACAGCAGATGAAATGGTTAATGCGAGAGTAGGTGGAGAACGGAAGAAGAAGAGGAGAGAAAGGAAGATGGGATAGAGAGGCATCAGCAGCAGTTGCCTTAGCTCTGGTAACAGTTGCTGCTGTCAGCGCATTTTCCTGTTGCCGTTGGCACTGCTGTTGGCTTTTTTTATTTATTGGCGACAGTTTTGGGCCTTATTGTTGTAGCGACAACAACTTTGATGACGGTCGTTATGAAAGTCGTCGATTCGGAATGCCGCTTTGTCGCCGCACCGATTCGTCCTTTTCCGTTTGAGCTAACCGACGCCATCTTAGATGGATAACATTACCGTTGACAGCTGAATGCGTGCACAGGATATATTCAACCCAGAGCCCCGACATCACCCCCACAGCCCCACAGCCCCACATCCTTGCCAATCACAGGCACATATATATTTTTTATATGTATATTTTCACGCCTGTTTATTTTGCTGTTCAGAGCTAAACTGTTTATTATTTAACAATATCGCTCGGCTTGTGTACACATGTAGGTGAGCGCTTATTTATTTATAACTGTACTTTGTAACATTTTAAGCACACCCACACAGACACGTGCTAAGCGCTTGCAAATGGCAGCTACAAATTTTAATAGTTTGCGCGCAGACAAAGCCCGACAAAAGGTTGTCTCAAGACAGCGCGAAACACACACGTGTGTGTGCATGTGTGTGTGTGTGTGTGTGTGTTCCTGTCATGTATTGTGTGCATAGCTGTTGTAAATATATGCGACCCGTAGGGCGCTAACGCGGAAACAGGTCTTAAAGCCGCCGCGCTGAAAAGTATGCTACACTTTATGCCTAAGAGTCATTGTGCGTCTGTGTGGGCGTGTGTGTGTGAGTGGTGTGAATTGTGTGTTTGTCATTAACAATGGTTATCAGCAAGAACAACTGTTTTCCTTACTCATTGTACGCAGCCCAAGTACAAATATGCTTTGCTAAAACTTGACTAATGAAATAATATTTTGAGAGCTTTATTTGAGAAAATTAAGCGCACACACACACTCACATATTATTAGTACTGTTGACATTGATTTGATTTTCATTGAGCTGCGCCATAGAAAATTCTGCAAATTCCTTATCTCTCTCTATCTTTGTCTGTTTCATTTCGCTATGATTTATTGACACAAGCAGCTGGCACGCGGAATTGCTGCGGCGCTCATAACTCACAGATACCATTCGATCTAGACAAAAATGTTCTGAATTCGTCAGCTAAAAGCTTCACTTAAAAAATACCCTTTAAAAAGACTTGAGCTGATTTTAATAGATATCATAATTGTAACTGAAGCAAATATATATATATAAATATATTTATATATATTAAACATTATATTATTATTCTATATATTATATTATATTATATATATTAAAATATAGATATATAATAAATACACCAACAAGATATATTTTTGTTTTCATATAAAAGTTAATTGTTTATAGTTTTTTTTTATCTCCTCAAATAATTTGAGACTTCTTATTTTTCTTTTCAAGTTAGTTTATTCTTTTGAAACTACATGCACAAGTAACTCTAATCTATAAATTAAGCTTTGTAAACTAAACAATTGTTCTGTGAGTAGCTGCTGCTATTTCATTTTATGCAGCTGTTAGTACTGTGATAGGAAACAAATAATAGCACCACTTTAACAATATTTTTCATATATAAGATAAAGGCAATTTCTTATTAGTTTATAGTTCTGTGAAATAAATAAAGCTTAACATAAGCTAATAAGCTAATATTTTTCTAAAAACAGACACATATTATTCACAAAATAGGCAAAAGCGAGACGAAACAAATAATAGTACCATTATAAATTATACATAAACATGTTTTAACTAACTTAAACTAGTTTAGTATGGCGTTATTTTATTTTTCTCAGCTATGTTTATAGTGTGTGTAAAAATTATATTTAATAAATATTTTAATTTTATTTAATTTTATGTTTGTTTCATAAATCC